CCCCCCATGATCCTGGGGAGAAAGCATCCAGCTTCTCATGCCCACAGGTCTCCCCACCCTCCCGGCAAATGTCTCGTAGAGGACTCAAACAGAAGCCCTTATTTGCAGATAAAGAAATACCACCCCTGCCATCTGTGCCCTCTCAGCCAAAAATGAACAAGACATCTCAGTGGAGAGGCCTGAAGCACGGGAGAAGGATTACATGGAAGACGAACCACCCATGTCCTAAAATTAGAGGCCACAGGATCTGAGACAACCTGGAATGACCCATTAAGAGCAGCACCACCCCAACGTCTAGGCAAACCATTTGGTCAAGAGACACGTGTTTAACATCGTGGTCCAGACTCTGACCTTTCACGGACAAGTGACCTTGACCTACTAGTTTCTTAACCTTGACCTTTCTTAAGCTTCAGTTGCCTCATCTGTAAGCTGGAATTGACAGTTCTACATCATGAGGTTGTTGAGAGGGTGCAATAAGTTAGAAACAAAGCATCAAAGTTCTCAGTAGATGTTAGCTACTATTATTATTTCCATCTGCCAGGTACCGCGTAAGGCCCTGGCATAATAGGAATGATAGTCCTTTTCTCTGTGGTAGGCTGTGGTCTAACTAGGGGAAGCAGAAGGAAGTCTGGGAGCCATGATGGAGGGGAACAAGGTTGCTTGGGAAGAACAGAGGCTTAGGAGAGTTGAAAGGGGCCTCAGGAACAGCTTCTGGAAGAGGCCAAGTCTTAAGAATGGGTACAAGGTGTCCCGGGATGCAGGGGTCTGGGGGGCATTCCTGGGAAGAAGAAGCTATGAGTCAAGGATGGAAAGGACGGGTACAGCCAGCTGATGCAGGGCCTTGTACGTCCAGCCACATCTTTTAAAATTTCATATATAGGTACTTTCCCCCTTACTATGGGCTTAAATCTTGATAAACCCAGCAGAGTTTGAAAGTCAAATAAGTATTCAATACCCCCGACCTCCTGAACATTGTGGCATCACCACACAGCACATTGCAGAGGGTCAGGTGGTGAGCCCAATGCTGACATGGCTGACTGGGAGCGGAAGGTTGCTGCTGCTGCCCAGTACCACAGGAGTATCCTGTTCCCCATCACCAGCCCAGGAAAGATCGAACTTCAGAATTCCAAGTTTAGTTTCTGAATCCACATCACTTTCACCCCTCTGTAAAGTTAAACAATTCCTAAGTCAAACTAAGTTGGGGACTGTCTGTGTACATACATGGCGACTCCTCAGTGCCAGGCCAGTGGTCGTTACAGGAGCCAATAATCATAGCTATGATAACAATTATAAATAACAACAGTAAAACAAACATGCTGAGGGTCCCCTGTGGGCCAGGCAGTGCAGCTAAACGTGTTGCAAGAGCTGTCATTTAATTCTTAAAATAATCTAGGGAGGGAGGTCCTGCTATGATCCCCATCTTTCAGGGAAGGAAATTAGGCCACATCTTTGGAAGGTCATCCTGAAGGACGGTGACAAGGAAGTTCTGGAGACTCTCAAGCCCTGGAGGGGCGTGGTCAGCCATGGTCAGGAGACGGCAGAGGCTCTGCAGATTTTCTGGGATATAGCCGCATCCTGCCAGCAGCAGGGCTGATGCTGGGAGTCCCCTGGAGCCAGGATGTGTGGTCCAAGGCCAGCCCTTCCTGAGCGAGGCCAGCTCCAGGAGCTCTCTTCCTGTTCCTCTCAGCTCAGAACCCCCGACTCCATCACTCACAGTCTTGATCTGCCTGTGGAGTGACCCAGCCCTGAGGAACCGTGTGTGATGCATATATATTTTGCTTACTACTTATGTTCGTGGCCCAGCCTAGCACTGGTACATGGAAAATGCTCCATAAAATTTTGCCAGTGGCTTAGACTCTAGGGCATCTGTCAGTTTGGTAGAGATGGGTCCAGCTTCATACATCCTGGGCCTGAAGTCTAGGAACAATGTGAACAGGGGCAGCAGATGGACTGGTCTGGCCGTGCCTGGGAACCAGCCTCTGTGTGTGGGCAGAGGTAGACGTTGAAACCCCTGCTCTTGTGCATGGGACTCACATTCATTCATTCACCCAGTATAAATAATTTTAGCATTTGCCTTGTGTCCAACATTATGACTAGAGGTGCAGTAGTGAGCACAAGGGACAAAGTCCTGTCCTGTGGCTCCCCAGGGAGCTTAGATTCTAGCGAAAGAAATAAAACAATGAAGAAAGACAGAAGTAGATATCCAATAGAGTGCCACAGACTATGAAGAAAAACGAGGCAGAATTAAAGGAGTAACAGAGAGAGACAAGACAGAGGTGGGTGAGGAGGTTGACTCACGTGGAGGACTTGGGGAGGGCTTCTTTAAGGAGGTGACAGCTGAGAACTTCTAGAAGGGAAGGAGCTGGCCAAGGCATGATTGGTGGGAAGAAAGTTTTACACAGAGTGAAAGTTAAAGGCAGAGGCCCTGAGGGGGAAATTCTCTTGGTGATTTTGAAAACCTGGCAAGAATTTCAGCATCACTGAGGAGGAGTGGGAGATAAAAGCCAGACGGGAAGGACTACTGGAATGACTGCAGGAGGAGGAAGTAAAATGAGTTCATTGAATAGTTTTGCTGTAAAGATAAGCAAAAAAAAAAAAATGTAGCTGGAGGGAACCTGAGGTTACCTCCATTTGTTACCTGCAGATGGGACCTAGGATAGCCTGCCTGCACACCGATTAGAATGTTCCAGCAGAGAAGGAGACACTGATGATGCAAACAGAGGGGAGGGGGATTGGGGGGAGTAAAGGCCTTGAGCAATTGAAAGCTCACAGGGATCAGTGCGCATGCGTAGGGACTGACTTCGGAGGCAAGGAGTTGCCCGGTGCTAGACCAAGAGAGCGAGCAAGAGGGCACAGCGAGCGGCCTGCTGTGTGCCAGGGCCTAGCCGGTGCCGGGCACAGGTTGATGTTCAATATTTGTTTGATGCAGGCACAAATGAACAATGCTGCCAGGGGGAACATCCAGCACCGAGCCAGATCATCTTCTCACCAAAGCATCGGTAGACCCACGTCACCTGACGTACCTGGAAGCTATGGAGCACAGCAACGTTGATCTCCGTGACAGCCCGGTCTTTCCAGAGGGAGGCCAGCATGTGCGTCTCCAGGCCCATCCTTCTCCCCACTTCCTACAGGGCAGAGCAGCAGGGGTGAGGCCTCCTGGGGACCCACCTACAGGCCCACTCACACCTCCAGTTAGGTGGCCCTCGTTACCTCCAGGATGTTGTAGCGCTGGACATCACAGAAGTCCCGGACTCCGATCTCAGTGCCCATGTACCAGCCATTGAAGGGGCACGCGGGGAACTCAAGGCCACCCACCTCCAGCAGCATGTTGGACACAGCCGGCAGGGCATACCACTTCAGGTCCAGCTCGCGGAACCACTCGAACCTGGCCGGAGGCAGAGTCAGTTGCAGTTGGGGACTTCTTTTTTTTTTGTCCCCAGCTCCCCCACCCCCACCCCCCAAAAAAAGCTTCAAGCTTCAGAGTCAACCAGGAAAACTCCTTTCCAGGTCTCTGAGTCACTCCACCAGGAAAGTGAACTGGGAACACCAGATGTCATTCATTAAATTACGCACTCATTCACTGATTCCTCCCCCCTCCCCAGGCCTTGTGCTAAATGCTAACAATCCAGTAAAACACAGCAGTTAGGAGCTCCAGAGAAAGAAAACAGAACCTCAAATTTGGCCTCCCTACTGACAAGCAGTGGGACCCGAGGAAGCCTTTAGCCTCTCTGAGCCTCAGTCTTCTCATTCATCAATACAGCATCAAACTCATGGGACTATTTTGAAGACAAGACCATCCATTTATATATCCAATTATTCTATAAATATTATAACTGAGCAACTACTGTGTGTCAGCTCCCTTTCGGGTTCTGGGGATGTTCTGGTGAATAAGAAAAGTGAGATCCCCAATCTCCATTCGCTTACAGTGATGTCTAGACTTTGAAACTACAGAGAGGTAAACAAATACATAAGAAAATAAAAACAAGATAATGTGTTCGTCTGAGGGTGACGGTGCCTACTCTAGATTAGGGGGTCAGGAGAGTCCCCGTACCCCTCTCCTTGCCCCACAGTCAGCAGACAGACAAGCTGGGAGGAGGGAAAAGGAGACCTGGGCTGCCCAGACTGAATATCTCCAAGGGTTTTTGTCCTGAGGTTGAGGCTCTCCCGGCTCCTCGGGGCCCATTCATCTAAGCCTCGGATTCTCTTGTCCATCAACACATCTTCCTAATCTGAGGCCAGAGAATATAATGCAGAATTGTTGCAGAAGGCATAGGATGACACCTGAGTGTCACCTGCTGCTGCTGGGCTCTGGGGGAGGCACGGGAGGGGTCTGATGGTCGGAGTCCATGAGGAAGGAGAGGGACGTGCCTGTGGATTTGCTGGTCCCACACCCTCAGCCACTTACTTGGGATGTTCCATGGGCACCTCAAGCACAAGTTCAGGTGGGATTTCAAAGAACTCAGGGTCACAGCCATCAGCCTGCAGGACCAGAGGCAGCACATCGAAGCGGCCATAACGAGGCTTCCAGCCCAAATCGATGCACAGCTGGGAGACAAGACAGGTCCAGTGAGCCTGTGGGCCTGCGCCTTGACTCCCCCAGGCCCCACTCGACACCCAGCACTGAAGACCCCGGGGTAGAGACTCGGCGGGTACCTGGGTGAACTCCAAGTTGGCAGGGTCCCCTCTGATGGTGCCATCAGGCATCTGGTAGCCGGCATACCGGATTAACTGAGAATTCCAGACTCGGAAGTCGTGCTTCCCATCGCTCCGCTGGGGGAACACAGTGATGGTCGACCTTCCCCAGGACAGGAGTGGCACTGTTTACCATCTGGCCCTGGTGGGGACTCCCAGCCATCCCCCCTGGCCCACCCCACCCCCGACTCTTCCTGCTCTGCAGTCTTTGCAGCTGAGCTGCCTCCCACCTCCCACTAGCCCCTTCCTTCTGGACCAGCACAGGGACCACTAGGGACCTCTGCATCCTTTAGGCGAGAGTAGCTGCCCCTCCACAGCCCTCTCTCTCCCTGCCCGGTATTTCTTCCCCTGAAGTTGAGTCAGCCGGATGCCTGTCTAGTGCGGGTCATGGTTCACAGTGAGGGTCTCAGACACCTCTGCATCCGGGTCCCCTGCCTCTTCTTCCCCAACCCCCCATGCTGGTCTAGTCCTGCTACATGGTCTTAATATGTGGGACCTAGTGATGAGTCCCCACTAGGTGGCCCCTGAGTATTTTGCTGGACCCCAAAATGAGTGAATGACAGAAGGAGATGTTAGTCCTATCGGGTGGGGGTAGGGGGACAGAGTGACAAGCAATGACTCACCTACCTCTAAGAAACCACACCAGAGTCATATGCTAGAAAACCAAAGTCTCAGCCCCTCTAGGAAGTGGAGAGCTGTAACACTGAACCGTGAAGTTACTTCTTAAAGGTGGAACTTCCACAGGGTTCCAAGCCCAAAGGAAACCCACCCAGGAAAATGGGCTCCTGGTAGAGGCTAAGCTGTGGAGGCTGGGCTTGCCATTAGAGGTCCCCGAAGACAGGACCAGCCAGATCTTTCTCCTTTTCTCTGTCCCTGGTTTCTCCTGGAATCGGTGAGGCCTCCTCCTAGACCCATCTGCATGTTTTGGCTAAACTGCGGGGGCAGAGTAGGCCCCACGGCCACCCTGGACAGGCACCCCCACCTGATGTTGCCGTTGTTGGTGGCATAACGGATGTGTCTGCAGAGGTGTTCAAACATCTCCTGGGCAGTGGAACAGCTCCGGGCGTCAAAGACCTGCACACAGCCCACCAGAGTCAAGGATACTCATGTCTTAACTTGAGGCATGTCAAGAAATGCATAGGGCTGGGGATGTAGCTCAGTGACACAACATGTGACAGCGTATGTCTTGGGCTCAATCTCCAACACCAAACAACAAACAAACAAAAATCCGAGGACTATGCGGACAGAGGCTTCTGGGCCGATTGAAGCCCTGGGGGACAGCAGGCGGCCTGCATGCCCCCATTCCCACAAGACAGAGGGGCCTATGCTCCTCTGCGTGAACGGCGGCCCCTTTCTTCTGTTCCCCTGGGGCAACCCCACTCAGGAGACTCCAGCAAAATGCACATCCCAAGAAAACCCAAATTTATAGCTCTACAAGTCAGGAACACCCAACCCCAGCCTGCTCCCCTTGCATCTCGAGCCTATTTGACACAGTTGGGGTTGGCTTTCCTGGTTTTGCCTCATCCATTTCTCCTTCCAGAGGATCCAAACCACAAAATGATCCTCCAGCGAAATGTGGCCCAGGAGCCTAGGATAAATAAAGTGGTCTCTCGGAGCCAAGAATTCAAACATTTGAGGTAAACAACCTCTCTTGCAGCACCAAGGCCTTGGCAATAACAAAAACAAGGTCGTGGTGTGG